GCGGGGGGAGTGGGTGTGTGTCTGTGCTGTTATGGTAGCCGCTCAGCAAGATCTGCTGCCTCTGCAGCTGACAGAACGACAGACCTGGGGGTGCAGAGAGCAGCATCAGTCAGCGCGGCGCTGCAGGAGACCGTGCAGGGGCTGAGCCTGGGAGCTCTGCTTCTTCCCTGCAGGGACACGGCCCAGAGGAGAAAGACTGGGTCAAGGACACTCCGTGGGTCAGCAGCAGCCTCAGGAAAAGCATTCAGATGACTCTAGATGCTGTGGGCCAAGCAGAGAAGGTCAGATCCCACGAGGGCCCTTCCATCAACCATACAGGCACAGACCCAGTGTGCAGGGAGACAGGGACGAGTGCATGCAGGGGCTAACACACAGAGTTTTCGGAACCCGACGTCTCCACATGCTCGCTGAGTAAGATGGGGAGGCCACCTCGTTATTCTGCACCTTGCTCTCCTGGCAGAGCACATACCCTCCCGGGTGCACGAGGAGTGGTGACCATCACAGTGATGCCGCCCACTGAATGCCCACTGTCTGCCTGCTGTTCCCAGCTGGTTTAAGTCCTCCCCGCTTCGCTGTGAGGCAGTCTGTGTTCATGTCACAGACAAGGAGCTGTAGCTCAGTAAGCTGTGGGACGTGGCCGCGTTCACCCACTGGAGGGTGATCCCCAGCCAGCCACGTGGCTGCAGAACACCAGGGGCCCAGACAGCTTTCATCCATTGTAGGACAGCTTTGGTCTTAGGCTCCGTTGACCGTGTTCAGGTGACTGGCTTAAGGGGAACTTGGTTCTACAGTCACGGTGTGCTCTGTGCGGGGACCACGTTTCCTGGACTACCCAAAATAATGGTCATGTTAACTGGACAGCTTCACCCAAGTCCCAAACTTCAAAATGCCTCACAGCACAGGTGGGTGAGGGGGACAAAATGCATGCTGTTTTCCTGGCCGCTTCCTGGGTTTGGGAGACTTTGATGTGCACTGCCCTCAGGGCCCAGCAGCAGCACAGCCCAGCATGGGGAGGAATGCCAGAGTGCTCTGCTGGAAAATGACTCAGTCACCTCATGCCTTTCCCAGTGGACCTGGAGAAAATGGGTCCTGCAGCCAAGGGGTGTCCCTACTCACAGAGGAGGAGCCAGCAGTTTGGGGGGACACTTGCCAGATCACCAGCCCAACCTAGTGCTCAGTCTCAGAGGTGAGTTGTCCCAACCAGACCCATCCCCTCCCACTTACAAGCATCCCCTCCCACTTACAAGCCACTGGCCGCCCAGGCTGCCTGCTGCCTGGCACTTCGCTGCCATCGGCGTCCACACACCAGCAGGAGCGTCCATTGTTCTGGCACTGGGTGGTCCTGTGAAGGACAGACACACCGGGAGACATTTGATGGGTGCCCAAAGCCACAGGCTGGCTCCAACCAGGTCCCTTTCTTCTTTCTTTCCATTCCTCCAAGGTCTAGCTCCTTTACATGAGAGAGAGTGGGGCGGAGACTGAAGGGTGACTCCTGCCTGGCTGATACCTGCCTGGACGGCCTCGGCCCCCAGTCCCCCCTTCCAGCCTGGCAGCCCTGAGGGACAGCTACAGCTTTCTTTGTTAGGGGGCTGCACTGGGCGGTGCCCAGTCCTGGTGCCGGTTGGTTAAATGGGAAGCACATGGTGGATCAGGCCAGGCCAGGCCCTTAGCAACTCGGGGCAAGACATAGCCAAACTGAGGCCTGTGGGATGGGCAGGGTGTGTAAGAAGATAAAAGATGTTCCAGGTAAAAAGAACAACACATGCAGAGCTTCCTGAAGGCAGGCAGGCTTCAAACTGCAAGTGGCAGGCCAGCCCATGGCATGGTGATTAAGGTGGCTATATCCCACTTGGTCGACCCCCTGGTTCAAGTCTCAGCCTTGGCAGCTTAAGAAACACATTGGGCATTTTTGCATGCCCAAAATTCTTAAAGGAGAAATGGAGATGGGATTGCAATGTGACCATCTCTCATAGGGGTGCTTTCTCTCTTTCCCTCTCTCTGTCACTCTCTGGCAAAGCACACATGCCCTCTAGCAAAATAAGAAAAAGAAAAGAAAAGAGAAAGGAAAGAGGGAAGGGTAGGGAAGGGAAGAGTAGGGGAGGAGATGGGGAGGGGAGGGAAGGGGAGGGAAGGGAAAGAATAAAGAAAAGGAAATAAGAAAAGAGAAAAGAAAATTGTGAGTGGCTGAAACGAGAGACCCGAGGATAGGAACATAAACAAGGCTGGCAGAAGTGGGGTGTCCTGGGGACCAGACGGTGGGCAGCAGTGATGCAGCTCTGCGGGCTGACCCTGTGGTAGATTTTGGTGTGTGTCCAGAGATGTCCCTGAGTACAGCAGGCAGGGGTCTGCTAGCCCAGCTGGCTGAGGCGGGGGTGGCGGAGACTGGGTGGATCATGGTGTGAGGCCCCTGTTGGGGGCACCCGTCCCTCTCTTACTCACTCTGTCTTCTCTCTCACTCACTGGGAAAATAAATAAATAAACAAAAGCTGTCCTCTTTAGCGCCATCTGGCTGCTCCAGAATCTCCATATCTCCAAGCAGGGTGCAGACCTGAATCCTGCATTCTTGAGAGAACGCAAGCGCTGGTCAGACACATGAAGGACATACCTAAGATAGGGGAAGGGCAGATGGGTCCCAGATGTTTCCCAGAACACAGTCACTGGTGGAGTCCTTTTTTTTTTAATAGAGAGGTTTTTGCTATAGGGCGCATGCGCTCGCCAGAGAGACAGAGAGACAAAAAGCGAGAAATCACCCCCCATGGGGGGATGGTCACACCGCAATCCCTTCTCCTCCATTCTCCTCTCGGGATCTTGGGTACGCACACACACACGCCCAGTGTGAGTTTAAGCTACCGGGTCCAGGACTCGAACCACGGTCTACTACATGGGAGTCCTGCGACATAGCCATTACACTAACTGCTGGTCCCACAGGTGGAGTCCTGTGGAACTCCCCTAACCTGATGCGACTGGAATAGTATGGGAAATTTCAGCTTCACGCACATTACAGAGGATTCTGGTCCATTCCATGAGGACCAGTTGTCTAGATTATCATCCTGCCCTATGCCAAGTCCCGAACCCCAAATGTGTGTTAGCACAGCTGGAAAAACCCATTTCTGAGAGGAGCTCATGGAGGAGGCAATGCCCAGACTAGAGAGCTGGACTGGGCAGGGCTCAGAGGCAGCCACAAACTTGAAAGTCTAGCCAGTCTCTGATTCCCTTGACTTCCCGAGAGGATACCAGGAAGAAAGCAGGCATGCCAAGGCCAGGAGCATTTGACACTGCCCTCCTCCCCCACCCATACACACACTCTATTTTTCTTTTTTTTTTTTTAAATAAGTTTTTGCCTTAGGGCACTTGCCAGAGAGAGAGAGAGACAGACAGACAGAGACAGTGAGAGAAAAAATGAAAAGTCACTGCCGAGAGGGATGGCCATGCTGCAACCCCTTCTTCATTCTCCTCCCAGAATCTTGGGCACACACACACACACACACACACACACACACAGAATGAGTTTCAAACCACCATGTCTGGGACTTGAACCGTGGTCAACCATGTGAGAGTCCAGCGATGTAACTGCTATGCCTTCTGCTGGCCCCCACACACATTCTCTATTATCTCAATTACGTTAAAGGGTTATATTACAGGGAGAGAAGGGAGTCAGTGATCAGTGGTCGGGGAGGAAGGAGGAAGCATAGCTTAGGCTCTTGGTCAGAGAGTCAATTAGCCTGGGGAACATTGGGGGGGGGTTTCTCCAAATCATAGTGGCCCCCTCTCACATACACAGAGGAGTTGAAGGGTACAGTTCAGAGGGGGGGGGGCACAAGATGTTTTTCAAGGCATCCCAAGGCCTTGAGAGTCCATTGCTGACAAAACCTTACTGGAAGCTGCCATCCTCTGAGCACTGGGGAATGTAGTCTGCTCGCTTCAGAAAAGCCCTTTCTCTCTGCAGCTCACACGGGCGAAGCGGCTGAGAGTCCACCTGGTATTCTGCAAGAAGGGAAGAGTGATTTGTCGGAGAAGCATGCAGACTGGATCCCAAGGGCACAGGTCAGTCCCTGGACCTGGACCGTGACATCATCATCATTAACCATACAGCCTAACCTGTGGTCAGGAAGCTATTCACACTTGTCCAAGAAAGGCATTGGCTGATTTCATCCTCAACACTTCCCCAGGAAGTAACAAGTTGCATCTCCATTTCACCCATGTGGCACGAATACTCTGACGGAGAAAGTAACCTGCCCAGGGTCACACTGTCAGCAAGCGAAGAATTCCAAAATACAGCCTGCACTCTGCACTCCCACAAGCCACCACTGGGTTAGGTCAGAACACCATAAGGGAGTTGTTCTTGTTTTGTTTTTTGTTTTGTTTTGTTTTGTTTTTTGAGAGGTTTTTGCTATAGGGTGCATGCGCTCCCCAGACAGAGAGAGACAGAGAGACAGAAAGCGGGAAATCACCCCCAAGAGGGGATGGCCATGCCGCAATCCCTTCTCCTCCATTCTCCTCTCAGGATCTTGGGCACGCACGCACACGTGCCTGGTGTGAGTTTAAGCCACAAGGTCCGGGACTCAAACCGCAGTTGACTACGTGGGGAGTCCAGCAACACAGCCATTACGCTAACTGCTGGTCCCACCATAAGGGAGTTGTTCTTGAACTTATCAAACCATTCTTGACCACGAAGCACCTTCCTGGCCCACAGTAGGGTGACAGATTAAGAATGTACATCTGTCTTATTTTTCGTTGTGAATTTTGGGACATGCAGGGTCTAACTCAAAAACGATGACTGCATTATGAAGCACTATTTGCTTACCTTTTAAACAAAGAAACTGAAGCCTGGTCCTTGCCCAGTCAAACCCCTAAGGTGCTAGCCAAGGATAAGTCTTAGGTGTCTTTCCCTCTACAGATAGATTTTTTTTCCCTAGTACCTAGTGGCTACTTCTCAAATACCTTGCATGGATGATGGAAACTCTGGGATAGCCAAGGGTGTGAAGAGCCTATTCATTGTT